CATTGTTATTTCTCCGTTCTTCACCATTCAACAAAACATGGATCCTTAGTGCAGATTCTGTTTATTTCACATAATTTTTATTTACAGTCCACATCGAATCACAAATCATGTTTGTCTGCAAGCAGTGATCCATCACCAAATAAATAAAATAAAATAAAATAAAAATATCCATCATTATTGGCTCTGTTATAGTGCCAAAACATGGATCCAACAAAATATTCCCACAACTGAATATTCCCAGCTTTTTGCATGAACCAACCAACCAATGGTTGCATTAGAATCAAGAGTCTGAGGATTTTTGGCATCATTAAAGTCAGTAATTTTATTGAATCTCCAGACCATTTTAAGTATACTATGGGTAACAACAATGCAGCCATACCTTGAAATGAGATATTGTTTTTAAATCTAAAACTAATACATTTTAGATATTAAAAATTTAAATCTAAAGTCTAAACAGCAATAATATTAATAAAATGTTTATTAATTAATTATTAATATAAACATGAAACATTATGTTTCATGTTTATAACACAGTACTTTAAGGTGGTTAATGAAATGGAGTAGGAACTTTAACATACCTTGTTAGACATTTAGGAAATGTTGTTTTTCCTTCCATGCAATCATGTGTGATTCTCAGAGACTGTTTCCAGAAGTTCTCTTTGCAGCTTTTCAGAAGCAGTTTGCCATTGCCTCCTTCTTAGGGCTGAGAGAAAGTGTCTGGCCAAAAGTACCCAGCTGGCTTTGTGCCTAAGGCAGAAATAGAACTCGTGGTCTCTCAGTTTCTATCCTGATGCCCTAACCCAGTGGTGGCGAACCTGTGGCACGGGTGCCAGAGGCGGCACTCAGAGCCCTCTCTGTGGGCACACGTGCCGTTGACCCAGCCTCGACTCCCCCCACGACCCCCTCCTCTCCAGCAGCCCCCCTGAAGGAGAGTCACCCCTGAGCATGGCCCACGCGGAGCAGCGCAGCCAAGGACATGGCAGCCAGGCAGCATAGACAAGACTGCCCTCACACCCGATTGTGCACAGCTGATGCTGCAGGGCGTGGGCAGAGGGCGTGACCGCCATAGCGCTGCTGGGCTGCCTGGGCGATCTGTGGCGGGCCCAAGTCGTGGTGAGTGGCCCTGCGGGCAGGTTGGGCAGGGGATGGAGGGCGGAGCAGGGGCGGGGCAGGGGGTGGGGTGGAGGCGGGGCCAGTTTTTGGGCACTCGGTCTCTAAAAGGTTCGCCATCACTGTCATATTCTGTACATTCTTTTACCTTGTGTTTTATATCCATCCTTTTATTTTCAAACAGTTTGGTTTTTTCTATATAAATCTTTGATTGTAATAAATTTAAAAAATGAAAAAAGCACTAGGCTGAGGGCATTTAAAGCTGGATTTTGGAATTCTGGAATCTCCCAGGGGCCAAAAACAGGGAAGATTCTTTGTGCTGCCCAAAGAATTGGCCACAGTCCCTGCTGATCTGGGATCTTTTGTAAATGATAGATAGAAACGGGATGGGGTGGTGCTAAACAAATGTGCCGAAGTATTTTCCAAAAATGTTTCTATAAACAGGTAAATATCAGGTTAAGTTTTAACAACACATCTCTTCTCAGTCCCCACTTAAAATGATTATTGAGGACCAGGCTTTTCCATGGATCAGTTACACAACTCACAATATATCCCAGAACCAGGGGACACAATATTTGCATTTGCCCATACTCAGAAAACGTCATGACATGAGGTTCACCAGAGACAGAGAGAGAAAAAAAAACCTCAAACGCTTTTTTATTGAAAATGAAAAGCATGATAAGTAAAACTAGGAGATAATACATAATTCAGCAGTTAGCAAGCTTTGATACAACATTATCAGTTTCTAAATGCTAAGCCTTAGATTTCAGTCTAATCCCATGTCAATATATGCAGTTTTACCCTCTCTACAAGCACAGGCAGAAAGAAGCTGAGAAAAGTCTTTCTGTATAGGCCTCTCCTAAAAGCCAACAAAGTCTTCTGCCTGAAGTACTATTTAAGCAAGATTCCCTGCTCTGCTTGTGCTTAAGTTAGAGCTTTTTCCATTACTGGTTTGTTACTAGAGAATTCCACACAGGTTACGTGTAATACCCCCCCCCCCAAAAAAAAAGGCCTCCTCGAGCTGTCCTTCCTGGGCAGCTGACATGGTGTCTAAGTGATGCCACAGCAAAATGATGGGGGCTTTTCTCCCCACATGGTCTTTTGTTTTTTTAAATTAATTTTTACATTTATTATTTGCCCTCCCTCCAAATTTGATCCAAGGTACCATTTAGGCTTAGTGCAGCCTGAACATTTAGGAACCTTTCTCAACTCTGAATGATATAGAATAGAGGAAACCCTTTTCTTATTGCAGCATATGCATTGTTACTGTTAATTCCTTATATTCAGAAATCTGATTTTAAGAGAAAGACGCTTTCTCCAGATTGAACAATTACTTCACACCGTATCCATAAATATGGGGACGCATTACATATATGACCAATGGGCCTATGATGTGTTGCAAGTTCAGTTTAGAAAACCCCGTATTCTCTATATATTTCCAGCTCTCTTTTAACAAGGAGCACCCATCGCCCACATGTCCCCAGGTAGGGTTACAGACTTGTTGCCAGAAGTAGGTCCAGGTTGATCTGTCAGCTGCTACATGTTCCATGAAATAGTATACACCACCCTGGAAAAAGTAAAATAATACAAAAAAGAAAAAATATAAATCAGAACACTTTGAAATTACATAAAAAAATCACACTGTAATCCAAATTGTTCTTATATACAGTAACTTCCTAGCAAAATGAAACAATAATTAAATATAGAGACAAAATGAAACTGGAATGCAATTTATCCATTAATGATTTACAGGAGATTCAAGTTCCAGGAAAACTGAGAATTGGCCTTTTTTACTTAAGGATGGTGACAAAGTAGCTGTACCAGTTCAATATATTTCCACATATCAAACTCAAAATTTCAATAATTTATTCCTTTATTTATTTATATCCTTGTTTTATCATTTTTACAAATACCTCAAGGCGGAGAGCACATCCAACACACTTTCCTTCTCCTATGTTCTCCACAACAACAATTCTGTGAGGTGAGTTGGCCGAGGAGAGAAAGTGACTGGCCCAAAGTCACCCAGGTGGCTTTCATGGCCAAGACGGGACTAGAACTCAATACATCAAGATACGATGAAGGAAGCTGATTTATCTATTGTTAAATGAATAAAGAGATACACTTGACCATAAAGTCAAACAAGTCCTATTAAAGGACAAACAAGTTGTAATGTATGTACAGTAACAATTTATATTTGGATAACCATCCCCTAACTCATTTGTGCTCTCAATTCTTTCCACTCGAAAAATGCTACTTTTTATTGCGAATATCCAGTGAGATTGCATTCACTCTAGATACCATTATTATGAGAAAATTCCTTTCTAATAACTACTTATACAGATTCACAAGTTTAAGTGTTCATCTGTTTTCCTTTTCTTCTATACTAAAAAGTATCAAATGTTAGAGCTTCCTTTTTAAGGGAGTGTTCATTTTATCTGCCCTTCACTGCTTCTTCCTAAATTTATAGTATCCTTTTACGATGCAGTCACCAAAATTTCAAAGGAATGATGGGGAGAATAAAATAAGCCTCATGTCTTGACCAGCAGAAATGATAGAAGGATAATGTTTTTAACTCATTTGTTTAATTGGGTTGTCCTTATCTAGGTTTAGAATTTGTGCGGACATCCAATCACAGTTTAGGTCAAACCTATGCAGATTTTATTTTCCTGGGCTCCAAGATCACCGCAGATGGGGATTGCAGCCAAGAAATTAAAAGACGCTTGCTCCTGGGGAGGAAAGCTACGGCAAATCTAGACAGCATACTAAAAAGGCAGAGACATCATCCTGCCAACAAAAGTGCGTATAGTCAAGGCCATGGTTTTCCCAGTTGCAATGTATGGCTGTGAAAGTTGGACCATAAGAAAGGCTGAGCGACAAAATATTGAGGCCTTTGAACTATGGTGCTGGAGAAGACTCCTGCGAGTCCCTTGGACTGCAAGGCATTCAAACCGGTCAGTTCTAGAAGAGATCAACCCTGACTGCTCTTTAGAAGGCCAGATCCTGAAGTTGAAACTCAAATACTTTGGCCACCTAATGAGAAGGAAGAACTCACTGGAGAAGAGCCTGATGCTGGGAAAGATTGAGGGCAACAGAAGAAGGGGATGACAGAGAATGAGGTGGCTGGATGGAGTCACTGAAGCAGTGGGTGTGAGCTTAAATGGACTCCAGAAGGTAGAGGACAGGAAGACCTGGAGGAATGTTGTCCATGGGGTCATGATGGGTCAGACACAACTTCGCAACTAACAACAACATAGTAAGACAGAAAAATATAAAACAAGCACAGAGAACTGTGGATGTACTTTTTAAAATAGGGAAATGAGGACTTTTGGTTTTGCACGGTAGCGACCGGTCGCAGGCTTGTGGATTCTCTGCACCCCCGCAGCTAAGTTCGCCCTGCCAGGGGACCCTAAATGGGTTTAAGTCACCCCGGAGAGGCGATGAAGAAAGAAGGGTGCTCCAGCAATTCTGGAACGGTGGCGGCCATTCCGTTCAACTTGGGGAAAGCCTTCTAACCCGACAGGAGAAAGGCTGGCCATATTGTATCGACCAGCCCAAGCTACTTGCAACCGAAGTCCAAAAGCGCTAACCAGCACAACTGTGAACAGCGTGCTTGAAACTGGCTGAGGAATTTGATCTTCTCTTTTCTATTTTACATTTAATTTCCTGGAAAAGATCCCCAAGAAGCAAAATACTTCCGAAAGGGAGGGAGGGGGATTTCCGCCCACCCTTATACTAACGGAAGCGGCAAATTAATCTTTTTATGGAGGATCAAAATATATGGAAGTGAAATAAATATTAAACCTGAAACTTAAAACTTAAATCTGGATAAATCTAAAATTGTTTTAATGGTTAAGACTCTCATTTCAGAGATTATTGTTCATTTTGGAAATTGAAAAACAAATAGTTGCTGACACCTAGTGGCAGATGAAGACTATGACAGCTATGACTTTAATATAAGACTTGGCAAAATCTGGGAAAAGCTAATCTATGTCTGTGACTTTCAAGGTTTTAAAAACAAAAAACAGCTGTGACAAACAAAGACAATAATCTGGGCTGTAAACAAAGAGAGAATTATAAATTTCAGGAAAAAAAACTTTTTTGAACTATTTGGATTACAAATATCTACCTAATTGGGACTCTAAAGCTATTTACAGAGAAAAGAAAGGAAGAGGAAAACTCAAATTCTTGTCTATCATGGATCAGAGACATGTAGAAAGAACATAGCAAGAAAACATAAATATGTCACAGGAGGAGATATATAGTATACTGCAACTAATTCAAACAACAATGACTTTAAACCACTTACCAGAGAGAATACTTAAAAAAGAAACATTTGTTTGAATATGGTTAAAGAAAAAGAAAAGTTTTGGAATATATATGTCACTCTAAGAGGGATGAATTCTCTAAATATAATATAGTATGCTTTTTCCCCTTTTTTGTTCTCTTTCTTGATATGAGTAATATAAAAAAGTTGAAAAGACTTAGATAAAAGGAAATATTTTAGATATTTAAATGTGATTGAATTTAAGAAAGTTATAATGGATAAAAATGTTTTGAATAAGAGTTAAAGGACTAGATGACTAGATGTATTAAATGGAATGTTTAAAGATAAAACATATTTTTAATTATGGTTAAAAAGAGTAAGAAATTTAGGAAATAAATACATATTAGCTTAGGAGGGATATATATTTTAAGCAGTATGTTATTTTTTATGCTTCTTTACTCTTGCTTTTCTTTCTTTCTTTCTTTCTACTTTTATCTATTTCTTAAGAAATGTAAAAGTGTGAGATGGTTTATTATTATTATTATTATTACTATTATTACTATTATTACTATTATTACTATTATTACTATTATTATTATTATTATTATTATTATTATTATTATTTATTGAATTTATATACCTTACGGGACTCAGGGCGGTGAACAGGCGATAATAAAAACCACGATAAATATACACAAGTTTCTGTTCTAAAATCAAATTAAATAACAGGCCTGCTCTAAAAGTACCCCATACAAAACCCCCACTAAAACATAATCAAATGCCAGGCCGGCCGCACGGAATAGATGGGCCTTCAGGGCTCGGCGAATGAGGTGCAGGTCCGCAACTGTACGTAGGTCAGGGGGTAGGTCATTCCAGAGAGCAGGAGCTGCCACAGAGAAGGCTCTCCCCCTGGGGGTCGCCAGCCGGCATTGTCTGGCCGACGGCACCCTAAGGAGGCCCTCTCTGTGGGAGCGGACTG